GGGAGTCATTGCTACAGGCCCTGTTTTCCCCTCGGTCCACTTGAAATTTATTATTACTGCCATTCATCTTTTTAAAAAAAAAAAAAAGTCTTCGTTTTCTGATGTTACCTTGCCTTGGAGGCATGTAGGGGAAAAGCAGGCAAAGAATTAAGCAAGCTGTTAGGAAAGAAGTCCTAAGAAAAGGCAGCAGGTTTGTAAGGACTTTCCAAGCTTAAAGGGCCATGGCAATCTGTGGTAGGGTAACGTGTTTCAAGTTGGGCCTGGGATTAGGGAGCAGTAAGAGAAAGCGAAAGCATGTCAAACATCTCAGCAGTAGTTGTACAGCATAACAACCAAACATTTCAATTACACGTACAGAGAGTAAACGAAGTATCTGCATGAAGTTACAAGTAGGCAGCTTTTGGCCTTTGTGGAGGACAATACATAATGAAGACAAAATGTCTATGGAAATAGCGCAGGAGAATGAGAAAGCATTGATAGAAATGGTGAGGTACAATATAAATAGATGGAGAGAGAGAGTATTAAACAGTGGAAGTTTAACTAGAAGCCAGATCCTCAGGTGAAACGAAGAAGTAGATCTTACACAGTAAGCGCCCTGTCCTTGTGCGTTAGGTTCCTGATCCTTTGTAGGCATGCTGGGCGTTAAAATAATGTATGCCGGTATACATGTGAGGAAAGGGAAGTTATCCGGAAGAGGGGCACATAAGTTCCTGTCTGAAGGTATTCTGTATGCATTACAGAGTACAGTCCACTGTGGGTAAGATAAGGTGGGGCAGCAGAGGAGGCATAATCTGGTGTTTACAGATCCACAGTTTTGTGGGTCAGATACATTTTATGTTAACCTCTTCCTGCAGACAGGCCTAAGAAAAAATGAATTAAACTGTAAATTTCTGTTCTGCTGTCAAGGAGGCTAGTTCTTCTGATAAACATTATTCAAGCTTTTGTACATTTTTGTTCGTAGAGCCACAAGACTTACAAAATCCACTAAAGATTATCAATGGACCATCATGATTTTTGCAAGGTACGAGTTCACATCTTTTAAAATAAGGTGGCAGGATGGGGAGAGATGAAGGACTAGATAGATAAGACCTTTCCCTTTATAGAAATAATATATTCTTGTTTATATTAAGTGTTTTGGAAGACAAGGCTAGCCTTTGGGATTGTTTTTAATTATATTGAAGTAAAATGTGTTTGGGCATGCCAAACTTTTGTAGTCTATAATGAGTTTATTGCATATAATAATTATAGGCTCAGTAATTAAAACTTTAAAATTACTCCTATTTTATTTAATATAAACGATAAATCAAAGATTTCTTTTGACTTTTTATAAGTTGAAACTAGGATGTGTCAGAAACATCAATCTTAAATTTCACATTATGGTAATTGTATGTTAGGTTTCAAATACAGGAGTTGTGTGTGTATAAAAGCCTTTGACAAGTCAAAAACTTTGGCGAAGAGCAGAACTTCTTTTAATTTAGTATAATATACATGTTTAAAAAGCACTTATAGAATTAATTGTGGAAAGTGGGTTTTTTGTTCTCTTTTTTTTTAGGGCTCTTCCTCCAAACAAGAGACGGTAGCGGTTACTGCAGTTGCTTTACAGGATCATATTATACACAGTCTTCAGCTGCAGAATCTTTCATTAGCAGATCCTTTTAAGTCAAAGTCAAGGAATATAAAGAACATTTACAAACCTGTGAACAAAGAGATGGTCAGAGCAATAGTAGATACTGGACTAAGTAAAAAGAGCGCTCACCACAAAAATAAGGAAGATTCAGAAAAGGAGTATGTTCTTGATCCCAATCCTCCACAGCTAACATTAGGTAAACCATTATATTCTGATTTGTAAATTGTTGTTTTTATTTAAATACTCTCAAATGCAGAAGCTAAACTTTCTGTTCCAATATAATGCTAAACAGGATACAATCTGACTTGAAAATTTGTCAAAATTCAGCAATTTAGGTCATTATGTAAGCAGTCATTTAAACAACAGAATTTTCATCAGTGGCTTGAGTTCGTCTTTTTATGTCCGAAATGTTTTGAAACTTCTTCTTCTTGTAACAGTGAAGGTTAAAAAAAAGAAACTGGCATGTCTTGCTGAAGAAGAATTCTTCATTAAGAGGCAGGATTTTTTTTTTCCGTTTTTTAATAAGTTTTATATATGAACAGTCATAACTTTCACTATCCTGTATTCTCAAAGCGTCAGCTATTTTGGTTTTGTATTTATTTAGGAGTATGTTTTAGGATTACAATAATTCTGTAAGTCTATTTAAAATTGTTTGATTTTTTACTTAGTAAGAAGACATGGCTAGTGCTGCATTAAATGTATTCTTTGTTAATATATACCCACCTTTGCTCAAAGTTAAAAAGGTTTGTTTTTACAATGGTCCTGGGGCTAAACCTAGGAAGAATTAACACCTGTAGTTAAATACCTTTTTCAAATTTAGAAGCAAACATGCAGCAAGATAAAAGTCACAGATGTGAGGGCTTGGAATCATGCCTGGTGAGAAAGCTCACATTTAAAAAGCATTATAATAGTACAGCAGCGACAGATAATATTGCTATTAAAAAACAACGCCGAGGAGCATCTTAGCAGACCAGGAGTCCAAATATGCTTCCCAGCTATCTGTTTCAGTCATCTGTTTCCCTTTTCTAAAGGTTTCTGCAGTGTTCTTTGTTCTTGCAGTGAATGTCTTCTTGTCGCCATCCTTGTGGTTGTCTTGATTAGGATTTTTTAAAGGACCTTCCAGCTCCACAGTTGGCAATTCTAAGTGTAATAAACTTCCTTCATCATCAGTAATTGTTTTATTTGTTCTTTTTCTTAAAAAAGTCCCTAGGCCTCTCTGAAGATCGTGTCGCCTTTGCAGTAGTAACTGTCACAGTAGTCCCAGCGCTAAAGTGAACCGTGTAAATCAATGAGGCTCCATACAAGCACAGGCATGTGCCCTTTGGAATCAAGCGAAGGTTGAGAGGGTAACTTAAGATAATACACAACAAATGAGTGTAACAAGGGAAAGGACAAAAGGTAGCAAGACAAGGTGATTATTAGTATGTTTACATGGTTATAATTCTAAAGATGGGAGGTTTTTTTATTTGGTTCGGTTTGAAGAGGAATTTGAAAGAGGAGAGGATAGTGTGGAAAAAAAAAACAGTGAAGAGGGACTGAGGTTAACACAAATATAAATAACAAATGATAATGGGAACTAAAGGTTGTGGTGAAAAAATGTAGTCCAAGTGTGAGCATGTTCCTCTGCAATTATAAGAAAGACAAAGTATTTTCTCTTTAAATCACAGCATTGACTGAGAGGTCCCACATGAATGTTTGTGCAAGTGATTCCCAAGAATGTGCTGAAATATCTTTAAAAGCCATTTCAATTGTTTCTATTGGGTTTTTTTATTAGTATTTTCACCTATAATTTTCTTTATTTTATAATGCTTTTATCAGCCTTTCTCTTTTGATAGGAATTGTGTTTTTTAAACCTTACAGTTGTGAAACAACTCTGAAAAGGTAATTTAGTGCAACTTTCTCTTCTTGAGTCTGTGGATATCAAACAACATCTCAGAGGCCCCCGTCACTAAGTTTTCCCTCAAAGGGGACTTGCGTCCTGAAAGCTAGTAATAAAAGTTTTAAAGGTTAATGTATGTAATTGCTTTGCTAATGTTCATTTTAAGATAAATAATTCAGTTATAAGTGGGTGTGTCAGCAAATGGGTTGGGCTTGTAAACCTTTGGTGCATAAGAGTGAAAATTCTTGCACATATTGAGCCGCGGTAAATGTAGTATTTCACAGCTTTTATTGCTTGTATTTATTCACAGTGCTGCTTTGAATAAATACGTTGCTTCATAGAGCCTTTTGCTTCAACCACATATCACTTCTTGCGTATCCTGCTGCCAGTTCTGCTTCCTCAACTATATTGTACAAAAGCTTCTCTTTAAAAGACCTGCATAGCCTGACTCTCACAAGTATTCCATCTGGTTTATATTATTTAGAAGTCAGGTTTCACCTCCAATCTCTTCCTATTTGGCAGCTTTAATCATCCGTTTATGGAAATTTTAAATAAGCATTTTTTCTTACCCCGAGAGTATACAAAAGGCTTTCCACAAAGCCATCTCATTGCCTTCCTTTAAACACTCTCTGACCACAGCGCTTGGAAGGAAGTCATTGGTAAGCATTTTGTATATTGTATTACTGTCTTTTGTGCTGTGACTGGCTTGCTATCTTGTTCCCTCCCTGTGTAGCCACATTTTGTCCTTATAAAGACAGGCATCGTGTATATTGGACTATCCAAATGGTATCTTGTTTCTTTACTCATTCACCCTTAGGTGTTGCCGTAAGACAAAATGATATATGTTTTTTCTGAAACTTTTACCGTGTGTTATATGATTTGTTTGTTACCTTCATTTGTTTGGGAAACACTGATCTATGCGATATAGGCTCTTCAAGAGAAGGTTGGTAAAAAGAGAAGGCATTATTGGTTAGGAGAACTTCTTTGACACTCAGTTACCCATTTCAGCAATTCACACATGAACTTTAAGCAAAAAAAAGAACATGTTCTAAACTAGTTTTTAGACTCTAGCTTGCAGGATCCTTCCTATTTCTCTCAAAGCTCTCATTATTTTGTGGTGTCAATAATAACACAGAATGAGTGTATTTTACTGCACCAGAATGGATCGACAATGCTATTTTAAGTCAATGCAGTATGGACTTTTGTATTTTGAAAATAACAGCGCTGTAAATATATATGTATACACTTTGCTGCTTGACGTTGTCTGGCTTGAACTCTGGCCCATAGCTTGTAGGCAGAGCTGTGAGCTTCAGAACATGTCAGGAGGTGCTGCATTTAGTGTCTGGATACCAAGTTGTCTGGGAACTGACACAGTGTGCCTGTAAGACAATTCAATCATATATGGCCACCAGTTTAATCTATGGCACTAGTTCAAGTTTTCTTTTCATACTTCGGGTTATATGCACTGTGGAGTGTATGGTTTAAACATATGTGTGACTGGTTAAAGAATCAGAATCGTTTTATCCCTATAATTCAGATTAGTACACATAACATTCAAAAATTCAACTTCAGGACTTGGACTTCATCAGCCTGGATTCATCAGGACTGCCAAAGATTTGCTAAGGTTGCCAAAGTAGAACCCTTTAGCGATCATTCAGGAAAGCTTCTCGTGCAAGTCTATTTTCTGGATTTGAATAAGAACCCAAAAAAAATCACTGAAGCCAAAAATCATATAGTTATATTGACCAAATTAGAACAAGCTGGACTGTATCAAGTTTCTGAGAAGCTAATTAAATCTTAGCAATATAAACTTACCTTGAAGAAAAGAAAGCACTTTCCTTTAGTAGGTTTGAGATGAAGTTCCAAAAGCATAAATTGACACAGCTTGAAATCTGAAAGTCATTCATTTGTTCTAAGATGTGGAATCAAATTAGTGTACATTTGAAGAAAGTCGTGTGCTCACAAGGAAGTAGATTACATAGAGGTCTTTGAGCCAAAAGGAAGAAAATATTCCTTAGAATTCCTTTAGTTCCTCATACAAGTTTTAGCAAAAAGATCAAAGGTAGTTTTGTGCAAATTTTAAATTGTTAACAATATACATCTGCAGATAGGTGAGCTCAGGAGCAGAATTTTTGTCCCCAAAATTGATAGATCCTATTCCAGAATAATCATATACTTGGGCAAGTGGCTCACCAAAACCCTATTCTTTGACTGGTTTGTCAGGATTCCCTTTCTCTTCATGACTAGTCAGTATAATTGGTTTGGGGACACAGTCTAATTGGGTTTTGAAAGCTTATTCAGAACAAATACATGCTGCTTAATGATACCTGTTTTAGGCAAAGATTTTGGTAAGATCTGTTCTTTGGTATGAATGAACGAGTTGACCTTTCCCTTCCCCATGCACAACTAAACCTCCCATCTAAGCTTCGTCAGCTTGCATTCTAACTATTGCAAGTCCCTCTTCCTTTCTGGTGTTAGGAGGTGTCATCATAGGCCCCATCACGGACTAATATTCCTTAGCTTAGTACATGTGCCTTGGACATCCCTCCATTGACTTTGCTCAGTCCACACAAGCTGCTGCTTCTGCTGTTCAAAGATGAAAATGCCTATTCTTTGTTGTACATACTTGCATCTTATTCCCTGTTGAAATACCAACCCTAGCCTTTTTCTACCAATTTATGGGGAAATTATGCAAGCATCTTCACTGTTTCCCTGCTTGAGAAGGTAGAGATTTCATACCTCCAACAAGGGACCTCACTGTTATGGTTTGAGATTGACAAGATCAGCTATTACAGTGACACTAACAGTGGTATCCTTTGACCGTCTCTTTGGTTCTTTATGCTCCTCCTGTTGCGTCTCATATTGTACTTCAGTTTTTTACAGCAGCAACTGTTTTGTTATTGTATTACTTTATCCATTTTCCTTTTAATTTTGAGAATACAAGAATGTAGTGTTAAAAAACCCTGAGAAATAAATTCTAACAGATTATCTTCATATTGATTGTTTGAAATTACATTATTGTGCATTGTGACAATCTTGTTAATAATCCCTATCTTAATAGCTGTGAACAGGTATCAAAATAGATTCATATTACTTGGCAAATAAAAGTTTACATTTAAAAATTTGGCGTATAAATCCAGTCTGTAAAAGAGGACCTGGTTCTGACAATTACTGAATAACTAACTAATAGTAAGAAGTAGTTTGCCTTCCGGTAGTGTGTCTGATGATAAATTTGTATACAGTGTTCTTAAACAAGTGCATTATCAATGAATTTCACATGAAAAAAAGAACTCCGTTGTCTGCATCTGTCAATGAGCTTTATTCAGTGATTTGTTATTGTTATTGTCCACAGCTCAGAAATTAGGCTTAGTTGAGCCTCCTCCCTTGCCACTCACTGCTGAAGAATGGGCAAAAATAAAGCAGAGATCCATAAAGCATGGAGATTCTATACAGCCTTGTGCAATATGCAGGGAAGAATTTGCGCTGCAGCCTCAGGTACATGTATAACTGTCAAGTGGATTACACAAAGGCATATTTAAATAAGATTTTCCACGATTACTGCTAAAAATCATTAGCTGAAAGAAGGAAAAAAATGAAAGATTCTATTTTAAGGTGCCATTTAGTATTTAATATCATGGCCCAGCTGTTATGGGTCAACTCTGAAAATACTCAGAACAAAGACATGATAGAGAAAGGTTGGTAGTATTTCTTCACTGCTGAAACGTCAGTAGGGAAGAGTGTCGTCAGCCTTTTTTTCCGTTCTTGCAAAGCAAGTATAGGCTGCTGCATAGGTTCATTCAAACTCCAGTTAGCTATGATTTTTAGCTTTAGTTCATCGGAACGGTGAATATTCACTAATTATACAGTATAAGATTATTTTATTTTCTCACAAGTTTGTTATTTTTCAGTTTAGTCCAATAGACATTTGTATTTTGAAAATGAAGTACATGCGCTCTTAATAACGTTCACTCACTTACTTTGTTTATCTGAAGAAACACTCACATTTTACCTCACTGGCTTTATGCAATGCATATGTGTAGCATAAGCATACTTATGTCATGTTTATTAGATTCTCTCATGCATCATCTTGAAAATGTTAAACAAAAGGAACAAGTGACTAATTGAAGAGAAGTGCTGCTTTAGAGAGGCGATGATGGTGGTTAGAATAACTATCCAAACTGATGGCAAGTTTCTTTCCGTGTGAATTTAATGGTATTTTTTTTCTGTCTGTTCCCCGTTTTAATTTTTCTTGAAGATTTTTGCTATCCAGTCTGTGATGTGAATCAGGGTCTTTAATAACTGTAGAAGCAGGGCTTTTGCTTCCTTTTACCTCAGCATTAACAGAAGGTGTACAATTGTCCAAAGACAGGTGGAGATAGATCTGGCATAACAAGACCATTCTGCCAGTCTCTGGCTACCCTAAAAATCTAAACCTTGACAAGAGAGAGCAAAAGACAGCACTCATTCAAAAGGTTACTTTACATTTGGCACAAAAAGGGAAATGCCTCTGGAATTCTTTTTGTCCTGAATGTTTCGTTAGCTTTCCTCCCTCAAGGGAAAAAAGCCACTGTATCTGAAAGCTTTCCCTTCAACTGGCTGCTAGCCATTAATCCTTTTGTGTTTGCCAGCTCAATAGTGCACACTACTTGTTCTGGTTTTCACTCCTTTCCCAGTTTTTCCTTCCTCTAAGAACCAACTGCTTTTTTTTGTCCAACTCTGTATCTTTTGTCAAGATGGAGATCACCAGCATTTGGTGGGAATTTAGGTCAGATAAAGGTGAAGTTTTCTTGTAGCCTGTGAACATGCTTTCTCTTTTGTTTTTTTGTATGTGTGAAATGCTGCATTTGATGTATATCACTTCTTGAAATGTAATGTCTTTGTAGAGAAAGGGGAAAAAAATTAATCAGCTTTCATTTTAAGTACTTGTTTCATAATCTTTTCCTCCAGTCAATAGCAGTTGGCATTTCTTGCTTTCTGCCACTTTATGTGTGTTAACACAAAATTCACACGTTGGTTTAAGATGTAGTTTATAAAGTAATTTCTATGGAAGACTAATACTACTTTCACCAGAAGGATTACAATAATAACAGAAAGAAACTGATGACCTTTCAGGCAGTCAGAATTTTTGTTGTCAACATTCTTTTACTTTTCAGTTTTTAGAATGGTTTAAAGTCAAGTTATTTTTTTTCCTTTGAAAAACAGGTGTTGCTTTCATGTTCCCATGTATTTCATAAAGTGAGTATATTTTTACTTAACTGTTCAAGCCCATAATACTTGAGTATTTTAATTAAACTACTTAAGTCAATATCTTAATGAATTAAATGTAACTATCTTGAAAAGTAATTTTGATTCTAGATTTTTATTATAAGAAATATAATTTAAGGCTATTTTGTCATTAGATGCTTTATTCCATTTTGTTACCTTTTTTGACAAATATGTGCGAAAACGTAGTTTGTAACTGAGTTATAAATTTATATACTAAACAGGGATAGTTTAATTCACAAAGTTGCATGAAAACATATAGCAATTTACAAAATTCTCTAACATTTTATTACAGATATATGCATCTTATAAAGTGTTTACGGGCTGATGAATAAACAGCTTTTACATTATGTGTAATCTAATCTATTTCTTCTGTTCCAATGATATGTAAATATATTGTAAGTAATTACAATTATTTTTTCAGGCATGTCTGAAAGCCTTTGAAAAATTTGCAGGTAAAAAGTCTTGTCCTATGTGCAGAAAAAAGCAGTATCAGACCAGAGTAATACATGATGGGGCACGCTTATTTAAAATAAAGTGCGCTATTAGGTAAGCCCTACTTCTGCTAGGCATGCTGTCACTGGACAATATTTAGTGTTAAATAATGTTCCAAATATGTTAAAATTTTAATTTAATCAGAAACTGTACAGAATAGATGCAGTACCAAAGTCAAAGTTTTTTTAAAAATTTAGATGCATGAAATGATTGTTTCACATAAAGAGAAAATTGGATAAATTTGTATTTCTTCTCCTTGAGCAATAACATCTTGTTTCCCACAGAATTCAAGCTTCCTGGAGGGGATATATTGTTAGAAAATGGTATAAAAACTTGAGAAAAACAGTACCTCCTAAAGACAGCAAATTAAGAAAACAGTTCTTTGAAGAAAAGGTATGTTGCATTTATTTATTTGCCATTTTTATTCAGCTCCTTTAAATCAAAACTCTTCAACATCAGCTCTGAACCGTTTCCTTTATTCCTCACTCATATCAAACAAGCGGTGTTGGAAACACTCAGCTGTTTTATTAGTCTATCCATCTCACCTTATTTTCCAGGTAAAAGTGAGGGAAAGAATTTGAATATTTAATTTTAAGGCTGTCTTGTGCTTAGGCTTAAAAATGGGGGGTGGATGAGGGGGCTTTTTGTGAGGTCCTGTGTTTCTCTTTCCTTTTTGATAAGTCAAAACAGTTTGTTTTCCTGTAGAAACATACGAAGAGGATATAGTAGTTCAAAAATCAAATCTATAAACAGTCATAAATACGTTTCATTGTCATTGTTCCCTCATTTGACCATGAACTAGATAGTTCCAGGCCATTCCATAGCCTAGTCCTTTTCAAACTTCTGCTCAGATGCAAGACTATAAAAAGTCAGGGAGAATAATAGTCCTGACCCCTATACAAATGAAGCCAGATCAGGTGCAAGGATTTTGCAATGACCTTGTGTCCCCTGAAGCAGCCACCTGCAAAGACCCTGTGCACTCCTCAACTCCTTCTTTGCCAACTTCCCTTCTCTCCGCAGTTTAGTGACAGCCAACCCAGTTCAACTCTCCAGTAACAAAAACTATTGACACATCCTCAGCAATTACCAGACCATCCCTCAAGGAGCCACAGAAGTCATCTTCTACTCTAAAATACCAGACAGCCCAAGTAACAGAAACTAACAAAGCCACACAAGAAAGCAGTTCTCACTGAGGTTGCAAGTCAAATCAGTGGAAGCTTTAAACCAATACTTAAATGGGTTATTTCTTTAAATCCCTTTTTTTGTTAAATAGAAGAGCGCTTGCAGGAAAAGGCTTGTTACTGCCTATCCTTTCATTACTTGTCACACTTGCTTGCCTCCTGTTAGAACAGAGCTTTGGAGGCAGGAACCATCCCTTATGTGAATTGTATGATAGTGAGATCAGTACCCTAGAGGTGATCTCACACACCTGTGCAACAAAATTGGTATTACTGTTGTGCTTGTGTGAGCAGGGGAGAGAGAAGAAATAGGTCTCAGCCTTAATACTGAGATATCTTGATGGTTGCTATGCGCCCTTTTAATCAGCAAGTGCCAAGTCCTTTGCGTAACAGAGAAACGGAGCATGGAAGTAACTAACGAAAGCTAGCGTTACTTTTGAAAGTGCTCACACGTTTAAGCTTGGAAAAAGTGAACACCTTGGGCAAATTGTGACTGTCCTCAAGTAGTTCGATAATAAGGAGCAACACAAATGTTTAGATTTTTCTGCATGGAGCCTTAGGGATACAAAATCTTATGTCTCTTTCCTCATGCGACCCAGGTACTCAACTGTCTCGGGGCTCAAAATACCATGCTTAGTTATAAAACAACATCTCAGTAAGGGGAAGCGGAGAAAGCTTCTAAACATGCTGAAATTTGCAGTGGAGAGTTATATGCTGAAACTTTTTTCACCTAACTTCAGATGGCTACAGTAGCCGTCTCCCGAGCTACCTAGCATGGGCTCCCTTTCAGGGCACTTCAGATGTCTGTTTTAGGGAGAAACAAATTGATAAACACTGCCTACATTTCATTAGCCGATTGTAACCCACAGTGAATTCTTCATTTAACATAGTTTCCACATGTAGTCCACAGCATTAGGAAATAATTCTCATATGTAACACTTCAGGAACAAAATGGGCACTCCTTTTTCCACCTTCTATTAAAAATAAATTTATAAAGTGTTCTCATACGGGTTATTGGGTACCAGTTATGATTAAAGGCTATATACTCATTTTTCTTAGTGGCTTTCAAATGAGAATTGTAGATGAGTTTTCCTGCTGTTCACTCTTATACTTTTTTTATTTTTGGTTAACGAAAACACTAAGGTAATTTTTCACAATGAGTTATCCACTCCCAGATCCTAAAAAGCTTTTCTAGAATAAATTCTGCCTCTCAAACTTGTGCTGTGCTTTTAAAACGTCACTCGTTAGCGTGGCATCACAAAGGCATCACAATTGGAGAGGGGAAAAAAAGGTGGAGGTTAACGATTAGATTTTTTAATAACCCTACCTCCTTCGGAAGGATTACAAAGGCTAAATGTTAAGTTTCATACTCTTGAATAAATGTCACAAAATAAGAAAACATCAGAAACATCAGTACTCGGAAAGATGCATATTACTTGTTTCATGGTGATACAGTAGTTCTTGTTACACCAGTCATTCAAATTTTTAATAATTTAGATCAAAGGAGACAAGAAGGGTCACTGAAACCAAATGATGTTATTTTTTAGCACCACTATGCACAGAAAGCAAAGCGTTACTTAGAAGGCAGCATGTTAGGTAGTGAATTTCTTTGATCCTGCCTATAAATGTCACTTGCGTATGTCATTTAGTTGTAGTATAGTCTTTTATTGGTGCAGTTAAATCTTTTCAAATACATTACATTATCTCCAGCTTTGCTAAAAATCTTGACCATTGTTTAGGAAGCCAGGTAAGTCATTTGTGAAATGGTGTAGTTGACTTTAGTTTCCTCATCCCCCTCCACATGATTTCTCTAAACAATTTTAATTTAAATCTCACCAAACAGTATAATGGTCCTGGAATTTGTTTGGTCATTTGACTTCCTTTATCACATGGAGATGGTAAACATTCTGTTGCTAACTTGAAGTGGCTCCGAGCAGCAAAACTAGAAGGATATTAAACCAGTAAAAGCTTATCAACTGATTCATTGATATGCTGTAAATTCCAGCCTTTTCATTTTACTATTGAGGGCTGCCATAAGTCAACACATTAGTAAGCAATTTGCTGACATTGGATCACTTAAAAAGGCTTCCCTGTGGACAAAGTTCACCTCTGTGCTTTGTTTCGTCGTTTTATTTTATCATAGTCTTGTGCTGCTGTACAGATGACTGATGTAGTTTTGCATATTGATATAGGAGTTCAGATATTTAGTTTATGCCATGCAATTTAAGTTTTAAGAAGTCACAGACATAAAATGTAGAGGTATGATGTTTTCAGAAATGAATTTAGTTAATCAGTTTCAGTTGTTCTTGAAAAAAATTCAGTATTATGTATTGAAACACAGCAGGATTTAGCATTTAAATTATACATTAGTTTATACCTTACACATTAGCACATAACGTCCAAATTATAAAAAATGCTTCTTCCTTTGTCCACTGTTCACATTAATACTGATAAGCCGTTTAGCATAAGTTTGGGATTAAATTTCAGTTACATTTTTCTTCCCAACCATAGACTTCATTTGCTGATTGATGGGTATGGGTTGGGTCAGGTCATACTGCCGAAAATACAGGAGTAGCTCAAAGCAGATAGTATCTTAGCAGCAGGGGAACTTAATAGATCACTGTCTTAGGTGGTAGAAGCACTTTTCTCTCCTTATTTCTACAGTTTCTGCTCAAGGAAGCTCATGAGGAGACTCTCAGTCATTTAGTGAAAGGAGGAAGAAAAGCATAAGTGCAAGCTCAAGGAAGAAATGCAGGGCTTCTCACTGCTCGAGCAGAAAGGAACAAACAGTGCAGCCAGAGAAAGAAAGAGGGCATTGCTTAGTTATGCAACCCCTGCTTCTATCTGCCTCCTGCTTATAGCTCTTTATTAGTTCATTTTCCTTAGCAGGCTGTCTAGTCATACTGCTGTTCAAAGATAGGCTGAGTCCTAGAGCTGACCACATACTCTGTGTTGGTACTATGTTTGTAGAAATAGAGACTGGACCAGGGCTGAGTTAAAATAGTGTTATTTTTCTCAAATTTCACTTTCAGTGAAAGTAAAAGCATCTTCGTGGCTGCTCTAACTTTCCTTTACATTTCTCTAGCTTTCTTATGAAAACAATTTAGGTACGTTCATGTTTGATACCAATATAAATGAAGACCAGTCATAAATCAGGATGGAAATGTTGATGTTGAACAGAAACCATGAATAATAAAAGGTTTTGATCTCATCTTCTCTTATCCTTCCTAAAGTCAGTAGATTTAAAAACAAAGCCAATAAGAGCAGTTAACATTACAAAGTGGGATAATTCAGCCATAGAACCTGGGTAACAACAGTTTAGATTAAGCAGTGACATTCCTAGTAATTTTTATAACACATACATAATCCCATTAAAACATTCAAGACAACCTGATTAAAGTAAACTCTAATGCATTAGTATTTCATGTCTCATTCAGGAAGCCCACAGTGTGATCATTTGGGATTGTTTGGAGACCACAAAGTGTAAATATTGAAGGAGGCCTGTGGTGGGATTCTTGTTTGTTTGTTTTTTGTTTTTACACATACCACTAAAGGTCAGTGTGCATGTTTGCATGGGATGGAGTCAGAATTTCTTTTTTTTTTTTTTTTGGTCAGGGAAGAGTCATGAGGGAGCACGAAGTTATCCATCCACTCTTCGCTAGATATAGTACTTTACTCTCAAACGTCAGAAGGTGTTGCTTGTTTTCATAGCACACTGCTATTAAATTCAGATGCTACACAAGGGGCCTCTGAAGATTTTTCCTTAAGTTACACTGTGTTCTTATGCTAGCAGTATCTAATACCATAACTAAACCTCATTGAAACAGAAATTGATACATCCTTTCAATATACTAGTGTTCTAAAGATCATTTGCACATGTAGTAAGATAATAAAATATCAGTGAATGAGACATTAAAATAAAAATAATACACAGTACCAAACCTAACATCAAGAAGCAAACGACTTATGCTACCAGATAGTTTGGACACTTCTAAAGTTTGTCTTTAAAGTCTTTCTTCGAGAGAAACATGGGTTTCTCTAGAAGACGCTTTCATATTTGCACATCATATGAACTTAGTATTTTTAATGCCTTAGGTGATACTCTGAGCTTTTTCATAATTTTAGACGGAAACTTGGGAAATTCAAAGTTTAAGTGATATCTCAAAATCGTAACTGACTCTTTCAGAGTAGCTTTTGCGGGATTTGGGTTCTTTGGGTCTAGAAACATTCCCTTTGAATATTCTGATACATGCTGTCAGGGGGTCACTTCAGCGTTTGTAATAGAGCATACGTCCTGATGGTGAAGAACTACAAAAGGAGCAAAGTGAAACACAATAGGAAAGCGTTCAGCTCCCCATCCAGCTGTCTCACCTTGACAACGCTCCCTCACCTGTCTTCCCATCCCATCATCCCTGAAAAAATGGCTCATTTTTTTCCCTATTAAGTCTCCACTTCAAGGAAATGCATGTAGAGGAAGGCTCACATTTCATACCAGTAATATGACCACTCAGTGTTCCTTAAATGGTTTCAGCAGTTTTAAGAAAAGTGTCTCAAAGGATAAGTCTAAGACTTGCGTGACTCCCTACAGAACTTTCAGAGTTTGTGGTAGTAATGAGAGACAGTAGCCACTGTGAGTTTGGATTTCATTTAAGATCATTACATTTGAGAAATTCAGAGGGGCTTAGATACACTTTCATTGCTTTTAGGTACTTATTTTGCTGAGCACTGACTGGGACATCCTCAAATATGATACAATGTAAATAAGCCTGATCACATTGTTTAGACCTATGCACAACAAGCAGAAACATATTTAAAGAGTGAGATCACAAAAGTGTCTACCAAGGACAACACTAATATGCTTCTGTCATTGGGTGTCATGCACTGATTAACCCTGCAGTGGATAGACTGGTTTTCCACCATATAACCGATACTTCAGGAAGTTTATACAGCCTTTCTCTACAACACAGTTGTAATCTTTGTGCTGCACCCATACGAGTTAGGAAGATTAGATCTATCCTGCAGAATTTCGGGTATGAGAACCTTGTGTTTTCTCTGAAGTGTAAGTGGTCCATCAGTAGAGGTTGAATTCCTGATGCTTCTAACCTCTAAGTCAGCCCTGGACACCAGCTGTGAATTGCAACAGATTCCTTTACCACTGAGCAAAGTATTGTTCCAACCAGCAGTTTCTTTCTCTGTATCAGCCTGAAGTGCACATCAGTTGAGTCCGAGCCTCAGAGAGGCTGCCTATCAGTGCTCCCACCTCCAAAGAACCCAGTTTCTATACTTTTAGAAGAGGAAACAAAAGAAAACTTTGGGTAGATCATGCAACTAATCAGGCCCACTTGTCCAGTCCCTCACGATTCTACGTACAAAGTGGATATATTGTATAAATATAAATATACCTATAAATAATTCAAAATCCTGCTCCAATTGCAATCCATTTTCTTTTCAGGTTCAACATATCAGCAATCGTCTGTTGAGTTCTTATGATATAAACCTAGATGAATTTTTTTCTGAAATAGATTCTTCTATAGCTGCAAGTCAAGATGTGGTTCAGCGACTGGGAGAAGATACAGATGCAGGTTGGTTGGTGCTTTTATTATTTTATTTTTTATTCAGGCAATTTTGCATTTAGAGGCTTAATCTATTTAGAGGCATGGGAGACTTTCAGCAAAATTTTTGATCTGTTTTTATATTTTGGTCCAACTGTTCCAAATCAGAGATATTAAAAAGATTTTACAACTCAGATTTGCTCCTACTTCAATTAAAGAGCCTACAGAGATCATAGACAAAATTGAGAGTTAAAGTGTTACTGGTTTAATCAAAATTCACTAGCCTTGTCATAAAATCTGAACATTTTAAACATTTTAATTTGCTTTTTTTTTCTCTCTATATTTACCTTTCATTATTTCGTTAGTCTGCAGTATGTTTTTGATTTGTTTTGCTTTGTTTTTTCACTTAGGCCCTTCGGCAAGAGATATTTGACTGTCCTATTTGTATTATGCCACTCAGTCCTACTATTCATCCTCCCTGTATATTTTCTGGTAACAGCAATCAGTTTTCACGACAGACTGTTCTGCTTTCGTGTTCACATTTGTTTCATCATACCTGTCTTCAAGCATTTGAAGAGTTTTCCTTGGGAGAAAGACACGTTTGTCCTTTATGTCGCTCGTATTATCAGAAGAAAATTCTTGAATGTTGATATGTGTAGCTTATAATGAACTACCTAATGGCATTTAGCTGACAACAGATTGTACTTCTAACTCGAGCCAGGTTTTGCAAGAACAACTGACTTTTTATGGACAATGATACCTTATATTTAGAGAAATAAAAGTTAGAGGGGTGATGTTGCTTCCTACTTCTGTTTTTCTTTTATATTCAGTTTCACATTTGGTCTTCTAGCATCTTTCAGCTACATCCTCCCTCTGTCACTCATACCTTCTCCCATTTCCCAGAGATCAGCCACAGTCGATTCAGTGATTGTGTTCATACAGCAGCACCTTGCTGTATACCTCACCTGTGGTTTTTACTTCTGATTTGTTGCAGCAGTTTACAAGGGCTGCCAGTACTTTTACTGATAGTTGTGGCAAGAAATAAGTTTTTTCCTTCAGCACACATCACAAACCAGAACTATTTACCCTGGCTGCCTCTTCCACTTGAATGACTCTGACCAATCCAAAGGTAGCTGTGTGTGGATAGAAAGGAGCATGATCATCCCAGAACTTCTGAGAACTACTGAGAACCATGGAATCAGAAAGTACTGACCGCTTTCAAAAGAAACGAAAAAGAGATTATGAATTTTCAGGTATGCATTACTGAAATTAAGTCACATCACCAAAGATGGTTTCTGAGAGAAGGTGGTCACCACAGCATCAGGTGTATAGGTTTAAAATCTCAGGCTAGAAGAGGAAAAGGTTACATTAAAGAATCCTCAGGTAAGAAGAGTTTTACAGATCAGTTGCTGCTGAAGTCAGCTCTTGCAAATCCAGAAATCTGGATACCATGCTTTCAGGTCTGGTTATCTCTAAGCACTTGAAGAGAAGAAATGACACTCCAAAGGAGTGGGAACTGATAAACCTATCTTGAAACAAGGGAGAAGGAAAGAACCTGAAGAACTGTAGCATTAGCTTCACTTCATTTTCGGGAAATATACTGGTACAAACTACTTAAATAGAGCTAGTACTTGCCATGGGATTTGCCAAGAACAAAATCGTATCAAACCAATACAGTTCTGTTTCTCTAAAATAACAGTCCTGCAGATATGACAGAAACCATGAGTGTCACACTAATTTTATGGCTTCAAAAATTCTACCTCATATTTCCAAGAGCAAGCTTTGAATTATCAATATCAGACGAGATAAGGTGGGAAATATCTAAAAATAGTGTAAAATTCCATAACAGGTGCAAAATATTCACTTACGTATATAATGATCATATGTATAAGATCACCTACATCTTTTATATGTAGCAGTATTCAGGCTTTCTGTAGAAAAACATCAGAAATGCTTTCAAACACAAGCTCAGTACGAAGCAACGATGTTACGCGAGGCAGAGGCATGGAGTCTTCTAAGGCCCAGCAGGGAGATTACTGTAACCAGTTCTGAGCGCTGCTTTTCTAGAAACACTGGCATTGCCCACGAGTCCTATAAGTAGCAACAAGGATGACCAGAGGGCTACATAAACCAGTGAGGATCCAAATCGGGGTCACTTATTACAAAGAAGTTAAATGGAAGTGAAAACTTTAAATAAGCAGGGAAAGAAGCTGATGCAAGCAGAAAGACTTGCCTTATTCACTATGAACATGGAGAACCGAATTAAAGCTTAAAATGTGGGAAGGGCCGGTCGTGTTTGACATATAGGAAACCTTGAACAATTAAACCCTGGACCTTGCTTACAGACAGCACAGAAATCAAAGACAGTTCCTAACAGGCTAGTTAAATGCCAGGAATAACGTCGTAGGTATGTTTGCTCCTGTGCAGTTGAAAGGGTTAGAGGTCTTCAGGTCCCTTCCAGCCATAAGATTCTTGAACTTTAAGAAAAAGCCTAAAATCTCCAGTGAAGTGTCAAGGAAAGTCTGAAACTGTGCAAGTTTCAAATAGTTTAGGAAACGCAGTGGTCAGGTTTTTAAATGTATAAAAATTGCACTTCAGTCAAACTACTGAAAATGACTTACACGTTATCCAGTTGTGATATTCTCATACACACAGCCACGCTTACTTAAATTTAGGTAGAGGGTTCAATTTAACTGTGCATCTGTCTTCCCAAAAACAGGGTTGTAATGCTTTTGAACATAGAATCTCTATCACATCCCATACCTCGTATAATTTAAAAAACCTGACAGTGAGAATCTCAAAAGTACTTTAAATTGGAGGGGGGAAACGGACAGGAATGGAAGCAGGTACACCTACGACAGAGTCATTTAGAACCTCCACTGAGATTTTTTTCATTGCTTTAAATTAAAAAAAAAAGCATCAAAACCCCACTATGAATCATGCTTTAACTTTATTGAAAACACAGTAAAAAAAAATTCCTACAGAACATTCAAAATGTAACATTACAAATAAAAAAACTACCACTGCTTTTCACATAAAAATTCAAACTGGCTACAGAGGCAATTATTTTCATAGTTTTGTAACACAGTGAAGTATCTACAACGGAGAACTTCATACAGCACATTTTTTGGATGACCTAAAATAAACTAGAAAGGGTGTGGAGGGCAGAAGGTGTGAGGAAAACTGTTCCGATAACATTAAGAGTAAAAGCATACCTTTTCAGTCATATTTTACCTTGGTCCAAGATACATTCATGTATGTGGGGAAAAAAAAAAAAAACTTATTGCTAAGTCTTAGAACTTACAAACCCTTAAGCACAAATCTGAGAGCAGACCATTGATTCAACATCACTCAACCTCACACAAAGTTAAGACTGTGCGTAATTTTTTTTTTTTTTTTAAACTAAAATCTTAACCAGTAACCCAGCAGTGAAAAACCTGTAAGTGCAAGACGGAAACTATCTGTTGCCATACACTGCCATCAACAGAAACCCTAGGTTAACGCTGTATTTTTATAGTCACATCACCGAAGGCCACTTGAAGCTGCTATCACGTGAGAAGACCCTCAGCAGCTCTCTGAACCGTTCTCCCTCTCCTCGATAGGTATTTTAGCTTAGTGAAGACGAGCCTGTCTGCGCAACAAGTGTTTTCTATTGAGGTAATGCAGGGTTAGGTTCAAAACCTCACATGAAAGTAAAGGAAAGCTAAATTTGTGTGTGTGTGTATGTTTTCTGACATGTTAAAATTTCGAATCCATGACCCAAACGTACCTTCCTTTTTTATACGTTTTCTTAGAGCAACAGGAGTCAGGCCAAACAACAAAAGTAAACTTGAAATCTACCTTTTAAAGCTGAAGAGTGGCTCAGCTTTATTTTATATCATAAAGCCAGTAAGAAGTCAGGGAGGAGGTAGTTGCACAGATTTGGTGAAATTAAGTATTTTTTTGCCTAAAATGGGAAAATTTATTGTTAGAGAAAAAAAAAGTCATGCAGCAGTTACAATTTTTTTCCTAAAGCATTTAAACATGTCCATTACATTCACAGTACAGGTGCCACTGTCATGCTTTTTTTTAAATGATCATTTTACATGAGAGAGAGAGAGAGAGAGAGAGAGAGAGAGAGAGAGAGAGAGAGAGAGAGAGAGAGAGAGAGAGAGAGAGAGAGAGAGAGAGAGAGAGAGAGAGAGAGAGAGAGAGAGAGAGAGAGAGAGAGAGAGAGAGAGAGAGAGAGAGAGAGAGAGAGAGAGAGAGAGAGAGAGAGAGAGAGAGAGAGAGAGAGAGAAGGCACATCAAGAACTGTAGCTGCACTCAACAAATTACACAAAAGATAACGGCAGCGGAGTTCTGCAGCCCATCAGCTACTCCACAGGTATCTGCCATTCGCACGTTCTCAGTCTGTTGTACAAACCAAGTTACCTCTTTCAGTGAGGAGTGGATGGTTACCTCACATTGCTAAATGTAAAAGGAGGTATATGCCCAATGGCTACAGCATTTCCATCTCGCTCCAAATTCAAACTTTACATGACCTCTTGGTAGCTTGTTAGCAAACCCACACCCTCATGACAGGATTGTTTTAATGGAATCCAGTGGTAACACCGAGATTAAGTGCAAATGAATGATTAAATATTAATATCTTCACAATGGAAGAACATTTGTAACTAAGGAATTTCCCTGTACGGAGTGTGTGGGAAAGGACGTATATTAAAATCAAAGCAAATGCCCTAACCCCTTCAGCAGCCGATACCTATGCAAGCACTGAACACATGAGGAACGCAAGATAAAGCACTGTTCATGAAAGCAGCCTCATCACTGCATTTCCAGTAACATTGACTTTCAATCCTATGCAACTGGGGGGGCAGTGGGGAGCAACAGCAAACACCTGAGGTTCACATGCAACATTCAGAAGCAATTTTACAGTATCCCAAGATACTTATGTAGGTACAGCTGACGAGTGAGATACCTGAAGCCTTTACAAACTGGGATTTCCCAATTTCAATGTTGATGTGAGGTCTGAATACAGATATAGCTCTTAAATAGTTTGGATTTAAATAGCCAGGATTATCAGCATTTACAGGATAAAATAATTATAATACTCTCACTTTGACAGTTTGGAGTCAGCTTCTGCACTCGTTAAACATTTAAAGCTGTGGATAGAAAAAAATCTATTCGCAATAAAGGAAACCGAAAAAGTTACTTAGAAAAATACAGTAATTAAAACTAGCAAACATCCTCAGGGTTACTTGCTGTTACCAAGACAGCTATGTTCAAAAATTCACAGGCTTCTATGAATTTGAAGTCGGGGTACTGTTGCACTGTGAGTCACAAAACAGGTATTATAAGAATTTATGAGGTTCTTTTCAGTGCAGGTGGAATACAGGATATTTAGATAACATACAAACTATTAACTTTCATATGCTATCAAAACACGTTTCTTTCTCTCTTTTTTTTTTTTTAAACTAAAATGGATTTTTAAAGATCAGCTAGAAAAAGAACAGAAAACGGACCCTCTGAACCAGTGGGCTTCACCACCACCATGCTTTTTGCGGAGGGAGGAGGGTTCCCCCTCCAAAGGGGGATTGGGCACAGTGGGGATCCTGGAAATCAGATGTTAGCTCTCCATGAGATGTTTTCTCCTTCCTAAGTACATGACAGATGTTGTCAAGTTTTAATCATTAAAATGAAATAGGTAAGAGACCACCTTTAGATGAGATCTGAGGGGACACCGTTCTTTTCTGAATCATACAGCGTTTCTGAGGCAGCAAGAAGTGACACAAACAAACTGCCTGCACAGAAAAGTGCAACCAGAAAACAGCGTATGACTTTTTAGTCTTAGCAAACTTGAGCGGAAAGTGAAAAGCTGTAATTCAGGAGCCTGCACTGCTATTCCCTGGAAACTCTTTCAGGGTCTCCAGTCTTTTGCAGTCAAATTCAGCAACTGGAATTGCACGTGGCAGGCAGACAGCTGTGGGCTGATCTCCTCATACCGAAAAACAAACAAAACAAAAAGCAGCATGACAACTCTCTGTGACGGTGTGGGGACTTGCTTATTTTAAGTGAGGGCACTGGGTGGCAGAGCTTATTACCGTCTACAGACAGACTTCCCTTGTACATTAGCTTGGTTCGGAATCCGCATCAAAACAGTGGTTGATGGCTATTGGCGTAGGTCTTTCTTACTGGATGGGATGAATTTAAAGGCAAATTTTTTTTATTTTTTTTTTGAAAACTCAAGTGCTACTTGATGTGACTGAAATAGCTTGCCAGTTTACTAATAATAGATTCAATATTCAGAAGCCAAAAATATCAGCTCCTGAAGTATTCTGCAAAAAAGTTAGTACATTTGCATCTTTAGATAATGTTGCATTAGCACTGAAGAGGTTATTTCAAGCCAGCACCAAAATAACAAAAAAAGCATTAACAGTGATGGGTAAGAGGATCTTATTGCCTTACTTAAAGTATTTAAAGGCTCATAGTTCATATCAATGCTCTTCTGATCAAACAGAACTAAGCATATTTCTTGCACAGGTTATGCAATTATCCTTAACGTATTGTCCCTACTCAAATGACTTTCCCTAGATGAAAAAATTCTCTTTTAAAACTCTGGGTATATGAAAAATAACGGAACTTAGCTATCCTCCTGAGCTTTGTATTTCACAGTCATATACGCTGCTTAGAAACCATTAAGCGTACAGCTTAGCTGCTGCAGAGTAGCTGAGCCCGTTCTTTCTCCTACTCCTCTCACAGGAGCGAGGAGGAAAAAGGCTAGACTGTTCTTAGAAAGCTCAAGAAAAGTCAGATACATGAAGGAGCCAATTACTCTTTGCTTTTGTCTTATTTCTTTCTCATTTAGATCATCAATTTTTTAAGCAAAGGGTCATCTTGTCTTTCCCACACAGCAATGGGTCACCTGAGCAACTAAAAAAGCTGGGTCAGGGGTTTAAGTACCAGCAGGGGAGAACTAGTAGGACAAACTTAACTAAGCAGCTGCAGCCTTCTCGCAGTCATCGCTGCCAGCAGCGCATCTGCCAGGTCACATACGGGAGAAAGTGTCATCTTGCAGCACCCCCTTGCACGCGTCCATCCCCTCCAGCACGTGCCGGCATGAGGTCCTGCCAACCCCAGCTCAAGTGTAGTGAAAAGCCGTTACTGTGCATTGTACTCAAGGTGGTACTCTGGAGCCAAACAAGGAAAATATCTTGACAAATCCTTTAATTTCTATGACACTGTAAAACAGTCAACAGTGTAAAAGATACCGGAGAAACAGGGCCAAAGATAAGTATCACATTACAGACAGTAAACAAAGTTTTCTATGAATGCAAAAGCTTACTTGTACAGTAACCCATACTTTTTAAGCTTAAAGTGTTAAGTATTGAAGGTGTGCTTTACACTTTAAAATCCCACAATAATACAATTCTGCCACTGTATTTAATACTGTGCTACCAACGTAGAACAAAGCCCAGAAATGGCTAACTTAAAAAAAATTTACATTTTTTTGGTCTGATGTGTGGTATCTAGTTTAAGATGGAAGCATTTATGTGCTTTTGCCTCATAAGAAGCGAGGCAGATGTTGATGTTACTAAGATCAGCTGTATATACCTTGAAGGTATAGACCACCTGACTCTACATGAGTCAAAATACTAGGAATGTATCGTTAATATCCATTAATGAATTACCAGTTGCTTGTATTTAAGTGAATATATGCTTCTGTGAAAAATATATAGTGACCTGTATTTTACACTCAGTTTATCTGAAAGTAGCACTGTATTTGTAAGAAGCTTTGCATAAGCAACGTCATTTTCAAGGCCAAACAAGTATTTTCACGTGGACAGCGTCACAACAGTTGAGTTTAAAACACACTGTCAGTAACTGCACAGAGTAGTTCTAAATTTCTCTGCAGACTAATCCACCATAGAAACCACAGTATCTTAACCAACCTGCATTTTTTCTGTGTAAAATCTTCAATTAAGTAATCTTAACCCATGCCCATCTCTGACGATGGAATCCAGTAGGAAGAACGGCAGCAGGCAAGGCCATAACTTCTTTTTTTTTTCCCCTCCTCAAAATAAATGAGCTTCAAAATCTCACTTAAAAACGTGCATGCTTATTAGCACGAACTGTCTCTGCTCAGTTTAAGATAAACCCATTCATTTCTGGAAATCACATCTACATTATAACCCATTTGGTTCTTGGGTTCTTAGATCACTGATGCCAGGGCAAACATCAACCCAAAAAGTCATGTCAGTCTGCCTACTAAGAAAGGAGTGGAGAATGAGACTTACGCTGGCTCACGCTCTCCAGATTTCTTCCTTAAATTCATTTATTCAAAGAGTGTATTCAAATAACTGTCTTAAGGTCATAATAGAAAAACTTTAATGACTGTAACTAACCTCATTATATACCACAATTCACCAGCCCCATTAAGACACAAGGACAATTTTGGTCCTAGTATCACTTGCATGGACAAGTGGATACATTTCAATTTTTAATTGTAATGCTAACACATAAGGCTACAAGCTCTGAATACCTGAATGATGCCCCTAATAAATCTCCTGACATTTAAAATATGACCACATTAAAAAACAAACAGAAAACCTTTTAATTATAGCTCCCTGTTCTTGGTTGGGCAACTTTGAGTCAGAGAAGATTCCTGTCCAAAATTTCAGCATTATATTCAAACAACATAAAAGAAGATGCTTGTAAATCTTAATGAAATCGACCAATTTTACTTTAAGTCTTCCAAGACTGTACGACACATCCATAGGCAGCTTAATTAGCCTTGAAGTTATACTAATGACACACAAAAAAGCAGCAACTCTAGCTGTCATGTTTACTACAGCAGTATTTACATTATGTCCCAGTTCGAGTTAGAAAAGGCAGCCCCAAAAAACTGAGAAATCCTCATGTATACTGGAGCTTACTTTTTGAAACACTCAGGGTGGGGGGAAGAATCACACACAAATCACACTCACACAGCAATAAGGTCTACAGCCCAGTGCAGTCATCTCAGGAAAACAGCCAAAAAGCATCTGACACAAGGTCCATCTCATTTCAGAGCCACACTGGAGAGCTAGTTGTCACAGTCTGGTTTAAGCATAAGACCTCAAACTTCAGATAGATGTATTTTGGTTTTACAGAAATAGGAGATAGACAGTAACGTTGACTGATCCACTACGTAACAGGCACATACTGAAGTTGTCCCCATTCAAACCTGTTTGAAGATTCCTTGCAGCAGAACAGGACAAAAGTGAAAACAGATTTTGAATAATATGTTGGGTTTGGTGGTGGTGGTGGTGGTGGTGGTGTTTTGTTTTTTTTTGTTTGTTTGTTTGTTTTTTTACAGACTATGCTTATAGGATTCCTAAAGCTGCAGTGATGCTAAGGAAAAGGACATTACCACCCACTGATGCCATTCTGAATCTGAGGCCTCTGAGCAGCTAAATTGCAACACTGCAAACATTTATACTAGCAAGATTGAACACGCAAGTTTTACTTACAAGCGACCTACATCCTTTCTATAAGCTTAGAATTGAATTTACGATATCTACACATACAGGCCTATATACACGTTCATGTCTATACATTAAAAAAAACAGACTAGTGAAAGACACTGGATTATGCCACGGAACAGAAATCCTGATAACTCTAGTATAAATTCAGAGAAATAATTTACTTCAAATTAAAGATTGTAAAAAACTGTGCAATTGCAGCCTCCTAGGCCTATGCTACTTGCATTGATTCCAAGTACTGCTGATACACAGAAGTTCATTAAGAATTTTACCGGGGTGTACTTGGTAGGGTACTGACCTCCATGGCACGCTAGCTTACAGAACTGTAAGAGCTGTGACGAGGGGTCTACATAGCTTTTTATAAAGCATACTAGGCTCAGATTTAACACTGAAGTTAATCTTCATCTTGTGGTTCACTCTATTTGATAAGACATTGTCTGACTACCGGTAAAGCAACCTGACATTTAGAGCTAAGAACAGAAAGCTGAATACGCTGCTCTTCCAAGAAAGCTTAATGTTAGACTATAAACAGCCGGCTGAATCCTACATGAAAGGAACTGTGATCTCTCTCTACCAGTCACCTTCATTTTGTAACACATTCTTAGTGGAACTGTTCATCTACTGTCAAGGATACCTCCTCTAGGTAGTTTATGTTTCCAGTAAGGGTCATATTGGACTTCAAGTGTATTTTTTTTTTTTTTAAAACCAAGTCCCAAAGTTACTCTTTATAGCTGTTTCTGTATTATACAGGAGGTACTGTACACGTAAATGGTAGCAAGTTAATACCTAAAGATATGAAACTGTCAAAAAAATAAAAAGGAATGCATTATTCTCTTCAGCTTCCAGTCTTCAAGGCACCTCCTGCATTAACTTACTGGAAAATATACAAGCAGACCAAAAATTAACTGGAAAGAGGAGAATCTGATATAGCAAACTTCCTCAGAAGCCCACAGCATCAAAAGATGAGACAAGGTTGGACCCACACTATCAACAAGTAAAGTCAATACAGAAATGAGATGATGGGAATGCCACGAGGTTGGTGTTTTCAGCTCTGTTGATTGCAGATGATTGTTCATCACAGTGATTTCTGATGCCCATTTGCAGAAGGCTTTGCCTCTGAGTCTCTTGGATTGTTTGACAGGTGAAGTTTATCTAATCCTGCAAAACAGTATACAATAAGGAAAAATTACAATTCTTCTATGTTTCTTGCACACAAACCAAATTGTTCTGTGGTGAAGGTCTCCACATTTGCTGGAGACCAGAATTGATATTCCAGCTCAGATATAAAAGACTTCTGGGAAATTCCATCAACTGTGTTATAAGCGAGAAAAGTCCATTACAACGGACTTCTGCTTTAACAAAACATGGAAGAGACAGAAGCCTGACTTTAGGTTGCTTTAATCACAGATTTAAGAGTTGAGGACTGCAATTCTTCCTCAGTTCTTTAGTCTGTCGATGTATACCACAGGCCAAAAGAATAAATAACTCTTTTAAGCAATAGCATCTTTCTGAGAAGCATCCACTTCTGATTTTGATATCATTAGTTACAATCATCACCTCTAAACTGTTTAAAAGACTAATCATATTTTTAGACACACATTGTGATTGATTTCTTTAGCTCCATTTACAGCCTTTTGTTCTTATTGCATAGGTCTCTCCTATTTGACAGTGTTAATTACAGTCTCCTGTCCTTTCCCAGGCAAGTATTTAAACTACTCTCTCATGACTTCATCTCTAGTCCTCAGAGCCACAGCTCTCAGTGTAGGGGAGAGAAGAGGACACAAATTGTGGTTCACACTCTCTGAATGCACATGTGACCATTTTAAAAAAACATAGTGCTTGTTCTGCTTAGTACGCTTAGCAAACCCAGCCAGTCCATTTGAGGGACCTGCGCTCGTCAGGATTTATAACTCCATGTCAAATGCAAACCTTTTATCAATTATTTTGCTTCTCCATTTTGTTCACAATATTTACACAAAATTGCACAATATTTAACAGCAAGAGCCGAAAAGAGAAGCCCTAAAGAATCCACTAGAATGACACCATACAAGGGCCATTGTCCTTCTACGTCTACATTTTAAAGTTTACCAATCTGCTTTCAATCTATATAATGTTTGATTAAACAATATAGTAAAATGTCATGAAGTATCAAGTTAAATGCTTTCCATCTTTTGCTTCAAGTCAGAAACTTAAAAGCTGTACCAGATCTGTTGCTATAAGCCCATGCTGACTAATGTTAATTTATTTCCTCTAGAGCTCTACAACAGCCATTACATTATACAAAGGAATCTGAACAGTCAAAACAGTGACAAAAAATAGATGCATGATGTGGTATGATCTATTTGACTTACTTCCTCAGCTTTTAGTTACAGTCATTTTATGAGGGGACCTTGATTCATCTCTATCAGTTGACTCGCATAATACTATCTCATTCAACTATGCAACTTTTCTGAAAATAATTTTAGCATGAACATCTATGGACAGATTTACACACTCCTGGCCCACTAATTTCTTCCCCTGAAACTTAAACATTAAAAAAAAACCCACCACAATACGGCTTGTTTTAGCGCTACCATATCAGGCATTTTGTATTTCATTTCCTATTTAGCAGGTCTGATTCTACAAAGTGACTTTCTAGTAGAACTGTAAATATTTTAAAACACTTAATTGCTACCAGTAGAGGTGCATGCTAGGAAGTGCTTGGCTTTTGTTTACCATGGTCACAACTCTGGAAAGCAGTATCAGTGAAGCCTAAGGCATGTATCTTTTAGACACTACAAACTGAATCCAAGGTTATAAATGCACATTACTTGAGCTTTACTATCAACCCTTTCAATTTAAGCAAGGCCTGGCTCTAGGATTCTAAGGAGGTAGGAAGTGTCACTAATTAGTCAAGATAAAATTTAGTAACAACACAGTGCGTACATTTTCTCCTCTAAGTATTTATCAAATGTCTCAAGCCTTTCTTATATTGCCATATTGCAAATTCTTAAGAAACACGAATGCACAATTTGATCATTTTAGACTAGCTAGAGTCCTGGTTACTCAACCGTAGGTTTTACTCAGCCAGTTGCAAAGATCCTGATTTTCTGAACAAGCAGAGCTTAAGAAAAACATCACAACGAGGAAGTTAAGATTTCCACTAAGATATTTTTAGGGAATTAATAAATAGGTTTAAACAAGAAAACAACGCTAAAAGTCTGTTTTAGTTTGGAACGCAGGCTATGAGAACAGCACAATATGATCTAGAGATGGGAGAGTTTAAGGCTCAGATGTCTTGGTGTAAAAACAAAGGATTAGAGATTAGAATTGGTTCTGTTTGTCCTTCAACTACCAACAAAACCCAAAGTTCCCCTTAAAGAAGTCACTGAAGATCACCACTCCTGTGAAGTATAATCAAACTTGGTTCAGGAGTACAGGAGTAACAGCGAGCATGTATCGCGTCAACACTGTCTCAGTGCTCATTTCTTCAAATGACGCATAGCTACGCGTTCTCATCTCAACTTAGAGAAACTTGCACAAAAGCAAGAAGTTTTCTGTGATTTGTGCAGAACTTTAGCAGCAGCACATAAGGGTAACTTTATGCTAGAAAAAGGAAGAGTCAAAACACAAACTAAATTTTCAGTGCTATTATTACCTAATGCCTTCAGGAGCTCTTCTCGCACAGCAGAGGTGAACTTTCTGACCAGACATAACGTTGTCATGATAGCAAAGAGCAAGTTGTAAGATAATACAATATAGAAGTTTCCCAGCCAGTTAAACCTTCCAAAGTCTCCAAGAAGATCAAATCTGGTAATTCCTGTTGAAATTACATTTACAATTTACATTAAGATCTTGACTACATTTTTATAAAAACAGACAAGTTTCATTCTCTTAATATATATATAGAGAGAGAGAGAAAAAGCAAAATTCTTTCGGACAACATGCTGTAATGTAAGGTTGAGTACATAAGACAATGCTCTCAAGTGTTTTTGCCTCTTGATTGTCTACCATAAAACTGTAAGACAAACTTATCAAAATGTTTGAGTTTCCTAGCAAAAGGCCTGAATAATGTGAGTTAAAGTTATTTATTCTAGATAAGAACTTCCCCTTCATAATTTCAATAAGTAACTAGAAAAAAACCAATATCAGTATGAAAACTGTGTGAAATGTCAGTTTCTATGAGATCCTTACCTATTTCTGAAAGTGATGGAAGACATTGTGGGCTTTCAAACTAAAAACTTCAGGTAGCAAAAAGAGCCTTTCCATGAGAAAGACAAAAATCTTATAGTAAGCATTAGGCCTTTTTAAGTGTGCTTTTCAGAGCCACTGCTTTCTGCAACTTTACCACTGCAGTTTTTTTTTAGCAGCCACCACTAAAGCCAGAGAGTATTTGCTCAGAAGAAGGAAGCGTTTGGCTGAAAGACCTCATAACACCAACACTTGGGCTTTGTACTGAGCAGAGGTTAGGCAACTGCTAAAGCTAACTGAGCAAGACTTTTCAGACCTGTGTAAGCATTTGTAAACTTTAGGGCGCATCCCAGGAGATAGAGGAGGTGGAGCCACAGAGCGTTTCTTTTCCATGTCTGCTTCAAGAAAGACAACTAAATAAAGGGCAAAACATGGAGATAATACCCAAGTAATGGCTGTCTAGGATTGATGAGCCATTACATTCCAAAAACTCTCAACTCTGAAGATGTCGGTGACACACGCTCAGAATTGAGACTAACGGTGGGAAGGAAAGAGGTTTTAACTAGCCGCAGAATCAAAACATGAGCAAACTTCAGGCAACCTTCTCGACAGAAAATAACTCTGAAGTCCCTGGAAGCGAGTTCAGAGTCATCTCTGAGGCTTTTGAAAATGGTGCTTTCGGTGATAATAAACGGAGACACAACTAAGGGTGAATTACCTTCCTTTTAAGGGTAAACCCTGGTATGTATGAACCTTGCTGCACAGTGATCCTGGCTCAGAACCTAAGACTCCTCAGCCAGCCATCATGGCATTAAAAGGTATGCACGTTTCTTTGACTTCAGTATCAGTCATTTAAATAAAAACTACAGGGATCAACTTTGGCTTCTAAGAAAAACATGCCAAAGTGAAGAAAGTGGAACGAATGAGAGGTTTAAAAGGATTAAAAAAAAAAAAAGACTGAAGTTGATTAAAAAAGCAAAGTAGAGGGAGGGAGAAATATCCAAAAGCACAGAAGTTCATAGCATAAGAAACCGTGACTGAAGCACTGGTAAATACACAAAGAATAAACAACAGTCATTTTCACACTTGAAGCCAAGCAGAGAGCGTCCTTAACATTTTCAAAGGAGTGTTTTAGTCAGACTGCAGAGCTATAGGAAAAATTGAGAAAGTCAAGTTTGAATGTATAGGCTTCCAGAGCTTTAAAGAAAAAGGAACAAAACAAGTAGGACTTTGGCTGAAGACTTTTGGAAAAGACAAAAAAATTCCTTGACTCATAGGGCTCAGAAGAGCAGCTAGCAACAGAGCAAGCATTGTTAGAAGGATAAACAAAAATGAAATCAGATACATCTGTTAGAGCAGGTGGGAAAAATATTATCCACAAGTTACATGTATTTTCCTCTTCTGAATAAAAAATTCATTGCTCATCTGAAAAAAAACTGATACCGTATCATTTTGTAGGTTTTGGGGGAGAGAAGGGTTAATAAGTTTCTACCAACTCTCCTACAGAGGAAGGAACTACACACCTCTTAGAGAAAAGGTTTCCCAAGACTGCATTTGAAAGGCTGCATAGCACCAGAACAGAAAGCTACTTCTCTACCAGATACAAATACATAGCCAAGATTGAAGTCAGTGACAATTTACCAAAGAGTATATTAAATAATTGTACAGGTGAAAAACAAGAAGAAAATATTTGTATGTAAGGCTTGAAAACATAGTAAATTTCAAATCATATTTACTTAACCACAAGAAGTAAGAATCAAGAGAAAAATTGTTGGAAAACTTTTTCATTTCAGAAAATTCAATTTTGTTTACAATTCTTTTTCTATGCTCCTGGCTGCTAGGCATTCTATTCCCAATTTGTTTAACAGTGGTTAGCAATACAGTGCTGCTGGCAAAACGTCTGTCAAAGTAGGACTACTAAAAGGCTGAAAAGTACTGGGAAAACTGAGTTTATTTTAGTAAAAACTATCTTGGCATTCTCAAAAGTGACAGATTAAGAGACATCCACCAATATATTTAATGAATGCTACAAAACATGTACATGATTTTCATATTTCCATCTTTAAAACTTGAAAGAGGTCAGTACATGTACTGGATAACTTTTGCTAGTTTACCTTTCCCATAATGATAAAGTCCAGCTTTTTTTGTATAGCCTAGAAACTTGCTTTTTTAATAATGTGAAAAGACTACGAATCTACTTAACATTTATTTCCTTTCATCTATTCAGTGCCACAGGGCAGTAGCATGTAATGCAACACATGTTGATATTTTTGAAAGCACCACATGACTCACTGTACTCTAATACACTATTAATCCTGTTTGGACAGCTGTGTCTGTGCATTTGTTAGCTGTGTGTTAATTGTTCCATCTTTTTTCTTCTTTTATTTATCTCTATGGCAAACTATTCAGGAATTTCATTTGTTGGCTTTTTTTTTTTTTAAAGTGACTTTTACCATTAATCTGTTTCCTATGTGACAACAATGCACCCAGCATGTATACTTTCTTCCACAGAATCTATTTATTATCAACTGTTAATCTCATAGATCATTAACAATGACTTTTTTTTTTAAACAAATGACATGCCATAAGTTAGTGGACATAACATTAATGTTAAAATTCTACTATAAAACACTTGGAACAATATGTCATGCTGAAAAACACCTGATAGACTAATTTGATATCTTAGATCTTTACCATACTAGCTATATTTTACAACGAGATTACATTAAATACTAGAGTTAGTCTTTTGAACGTTGGTGAAGTTTCACAACAGATTTTTAAAAAGTGAGCTCTAGAGTGTGTGCACACGCATGCAGATACATACATGCACACACATGCACATGTATATCTCAGAATCCGAGCCTCCAAAATGCATTATATTACAAAGTCATTTGCCTGTTTACCCATCAGGGTTTTTTATTTATGGATTGGATTTAGTAAATAAGACTCTTCATGTGTTGACATATACAGCATGAAAATACAGTACAGTTTACTGAAAAATACTAAGTACTCTTGATTTGACAATACTGTAGTTGAAAAGATAACCAGCTACAAAACTAATGGGTATGCATTACCAGGCTGCAGGCCTGAGCTTAAATTCCTAAATTCAATGTAAGACTCATACAGCCTGAGATGGACATTTTTTTTATTGCTTGCAATAAATAATGTGAAATTCACATTAGCTGCAAGTGCTCTGCACTGCTTAAACACATACCTTTATCTGACTCAGGATAGTCTTACAGGCTCACTTCAAGAATTCAAGCTGAAGACTAACCAATTAAATAAAACTAAGGCACTAAACATCTTGTTTTTCCAACTGGCTAAAACAGTTCTTCACTCCAGGCACTTCTACCAGCTCAATAAAATCAGAATTTCTCCAGTTCTATTACGCTGGATTCTAAATTTTTAATATTTGAAAACTGAAGGAACAAAGAATGCAAGCAGATCATTAAGGAAAATAGGCTGGTTTTTGATACTGCTGTTGCAAAATTAGGATACGAAGAGCGCTCAACTTTGTTAAAAGACATTTGCACTCCTCAATATTATCTCAAATTTAATTCCCGAAATCCTCAAAACATAGTTTTTCATGAAAAACTTAGAGACAGTAAATATGAAACTATTTTTCACTGCTCTGATCTAGCAGTCTCCACATGTGTTCTTCTCACCAGCTCCTGGTTTAAGCTGATAATTCCATCTGCTTTTTTAAAAGAACTTATTCAAGAAAGTGTTTGGTATCTTTTATTAAATGTTCTCTGCTGTTCATACACAGCCATATTGGCGCAGGGCCACACATGCATGTGATTTTCACCGAAATCAATGGCAAAATAAATAGCATAAAAGCTACAGCTGCAGGTTTGTTTGCTTTGTTTTTTTTTTTAAATTCAACAAATAAGCATCCCTTATTTTAATAATTCTGTTCTTCCGTTCAACTTACCCAGCGTTCTTGACATGACTGGCAAAGCAGAACTCAGCACCAAGATTGACACACAGTTTCCAATGATCTGTTTAAAAATTACAGACAGCATTTCAACTATAAATGGGAATGTCCCAAACAAGCAGCGGTCCAGGTAAGAACTGTTCCTGAAAGCTACATACTTTAAACTTAACCTAAAGTAATTGACAACTACATACTGTTAATCTGGCTTACTCTGCCACACTTCTCCATATGGGGTTACACAGCTGAAGATTGCCAAAGAAGAGAGAGAGAGAAAGTAAACATGGAATCATTTGTTTTTAATTTAAGTTGTTACGTATGCTTAGATTTAAAATAATTCAAAAGTAGCATATTGCAAAGCATCATCTGTTTACCTGATTCCTGCAAACTTCTTATATAATACTCATTCCATGAACTTGAAATAGATGACTTATACATCAGCTTAAGCTTTATATGCAACTGCTTGCAGGATTAGCATTACAAATTTACAAAGAGCTTCCTTGCAACTGAATGCCTATGGAGTACCTTGAATGGTATGAAAAAATTCACAGCTGTTTAGATTTTATTCTAGATTTTCTGAAGCTCTTATAAAGAGTAATTGAAACTTTTCTGTCACAGGGAATCACCATCTTCAGCTCTAATACTACTGGAATTCAAAATTAAAAAAAAAATAGAAGATTCCTTATGAGTCAGTTGGTATTTCTGCATTCACTATTTATTTCTAAGTTACTGCTGGTATCCTGTAAACAAACAATGGAAAACTTTAAGAACATTTCAACTCCCTCTTACTTATCCCTCTTACCTACTTTCTTGCTTCCAATAATTTATAGTAAAAAAAAAAAAAAATGAAGTGGTTTTATCCATTAGTTTTTACAATGAAACACATTGAATAAACAAACTTAACATCTGTTCCTTGCTTACTGATCACCTCCCCTTGTCAGCTGTGGGAATATTCTGCCAAAAACTTATGCATGTTCCTCAACATTAGGTAAGGGCATTTGTTATTCTGAGGCCAGTGTTAAAATGTAGAAAGTCAAATTAGCCACAGACTGCAAAATGTTGCTGAATAGACCTCCTCAGTCTTGCTTTAATTATTCAAATTTGAATTATTTTGTCTGTATTACTTGTAGCAACCAAGTTCTTCAGATTTCAAACAAGCTCCCTGAAGTACAGTTAGCACAATCAAAGTTACTCATTAGCAATACATTTCCTTTGAAAAAAGTTCTTTCACTAGCTTTTCTATAGCTAGTTAACAAGCTCTGCTATTCCAAGCTTTTTACAAGTGAATGGATGCCATCCAAACTAAACAGAGCACATCCTTTTTCCCACTCATTCAGCATTTTGAAAATCTTCCAGTTTGTGTTTACGCAGCTTACAAACAAATACTGATCACTGCAAATGAGCCATTCAGGGCAATTACTAACTAAAAGAGTCAGTTTGTCTTGGGTGGCAAAAGAGAGGGGAGGGGGGCATCCCCGTCACAGACTTTACTTTACCTTTGTCATAGTTGTGTCATCCTTCCTGGGAGTGAAATTTTCAAAAAAACGAAGACTGTAGAAGCCGACGACAGAAGATACCATAAGATAGCTGTGAGAATCAAGGAAAAATGAACCTCCGAGGAATGCAAGCTTCACTCAAGTTCTCAGCAGTCTCCTGAAAGTCTTAAGAACCAAAAGAAAAAAACACAAACACTTCGAGTGCTTCAGGAGGACTGACCTATCTCTTTCTTCTTTCCAGGCAAGTGTCTTAGTAAATTACCAGTGTCCCAGAAAACTAGACAGAATACTTGTTAACAGACAGAATTCTTGAAGAAAGGATACAAAATCAAAATGATTTCGAGTGCTGCTCCCACAAAACCAAAAGTGGACAGGGAGGCACTTCCTATGCCAGGCCCCTGCAACGAGAAAAATACTTTGCATAATTTAATGAGACACACATAATTGTTCATAATGTTAACTTGTATCAGTACCAAAAAATTGGCATCTTAATTTAGGAGAATGCTTTATTTCATCCAAATGTTTCATTATGATGTGCTAATCTGCAGGTCTCGCATTCGATGCGATTGCACCAGCTAGCTTTCAGTCTCGAGTGAGATGTATTATCAAAACACATGAGCGATTTCTAGCTTTCTAATATTAGGATTCACATTTTATGCACACTGTATCTACCCACCATGATCGTTTTATGCACACCCCATTACTTTGGGAACCAAATTAAGAGATCCTCCAGCACGCTCTTTTGGACATTCACGATACCACAAGCAGAGCAGCTATCACCACTAACACCTTTCATGCCTCTGAAAGTACATACATAGCTATATGCAGGAAAAACTTACCAGGTTAAAAAAAATCCTTCACTATTACCAAGTTCTTTATTTTTTGAAGGATTTTTATCATAAAGGAGGTAATAAAAAAACACGTTTTGAAAGAGGAACATAAGTATTACCCAGACTTTTCTTTTTAATCTGTTTTCATATGCAACCTAGAAATGTTCAATTTAATAGTAGGAGGCATTAGTAAAACACAAACCCCAGATTGCTATTACTCCTCTGACTTATGTTACTGAATCATGTTATCTTCATAAAGATGTGGGCTTGGTTTTATTAAGAACTCACCATAACAAATCATGTAACAACCGCTTACACATGTGCAGGACTGAAACTCAGAACCAAGTCAAGGTTGAGGCTCATTAGCTTCAATATTAAAGCAGAAGTTCTACTGTGCACTTTTGTAAATGCTCCAAAGCTTTACTAAAATTATCAAAATCATACAGGAAAAGTTTACTTTACCCCTGATCCCTTTGGCATTGCAGTCTCATCAACCAACAGGTAAAGAATGTTGAGAGCAACTAAGAGGACTGAGATGGACTATAAAAAAAGTAGAAAGAGTTTCATTATTTAAAGATTTTCCTCATTTAAACAATGTATATATATTTATCCTCACTGGATTTCACAGCATTAAGCTTTTTTGAAAAAGGTGAAGAAAATGTTATCAAGTTTGTTGCTTAAATACACATCACTCGAGAGTTGTAAAACCATCCCCCAAATGACTAAAGAATTCTACATGCTCTTTGATGAGGAAAAAAAAAAAGGAGCAAAAATTCTTACCGTCTCAATCAGTAGCAATATCATAACAGCTGGATAGACTAAATTCCTTTCCCAAGCAGAAGCTTTTTTTCGCCGCTCTGTTCAGAAGAAGAAGAAAAAAAAAAACTAGAAGCTTCATACCTTAGATCACTTTAGATTAAAACAAAAATTATTTCAGATACCTGTAAACTCTTAGTATAACAACTGTAGGTACTTTGTACTCCAGCCCAGGCTTCCATAAGATAACGTTACCATGAATATAGAGACATAAAATAAGGAGTAGAAGCTTTTTATGCATGTTTTAGTACAACCTATCCTTTTATGAAATAAGATAAAGATGAGACTAACTGGACATCACCACTAGTATCTCTAAGAAAATCCAACAACTTTTTCTTACCATAGTATTACCCTCACACAAAATACAGTGATCAATGCAAAAATCTTAAAAGCTTTAGAGTAAGTAGAGATTTTCATTTAATCACTGCCATTATGAGAAGTATCAATTTTCAATTTTAAAAAACACAAACCTGCTAAGAATTGTTTTATTGTTTTTAAGCACAATCTGACTCTTACAGAAGTAATTCAAAAATTCAAAGAGGAAAGTAGTGTCTTAGTACCGCATTATTTCTTTAACCATTATATGCTTATGATTATTTGGACTTATCTAAGCTGCATATCAGGAAGTTAAGAATGGTAAAGCTTCTCTAAAATTATGTTAGCGATAGTATTCAAAATCAGACTCTCTTTAAATATGTTTGCTAGAGAAGTGCAGTGATTCCATTTGTGGAAACTACAGAAGTTTGAAAGGACTGCAAATGCACCAGTTCGGTTAGGATCAAAATTGTTATCAGTCAGGTGACACCGACAAGTTGCAGATATCTTAAAGTTGCTTATTAAACTGCAATCCACATGAAACAACATAGAAAGAAGTTTTATTACCTAGATTTGTTTTCTTGCTTTTCACTTTTTCAAGCTCCCGCTCCAGCTCTGCTGTCTGATATTCCACTGCGGAAGACATACCTTTCAAGAGGCAAGGCACAATTTTATTTTGGATGAAGCTAACTACAACACAAGACAGATACACTGAAAATTCAGATTTACGAAACATCACATTAATATTTCTGCCTCGAAACTGCAACTGGTTCTTTGAGACACTAATACCTTTCACAAAACAGAGGCTTAATCAAGAACCCCTTAATTCTGTCTAACCAGAGGAGTTCTTCACATCAGAGGTTTCACCACGTGATCTACTGGGATCCCTTTCTATTTTGTTAACCAGCTGCAAGACATAAGAGAAGAACAGATACTGAACTGAGTTGCACAGGTCCAAAAAACAGTTATGGTGTGGCAGCCGACACAAAATGGCTTGAATGCCTCATTCTGTTATCTCCGTAACATTTATGTACTAAGATGCAAAAAACAATGCCTTTGAAGGGCATCCAGAGATACTTAGCAACTTGAAAAGGGTACATCTTCCTCAAAACTAGATAAGCTGGTGGCTGGACCTCCAGCTTCAACTTCTGCCTCTCCCTCCTTTTCCTCAGTCTCCTATACTCAAACTTGGTTTCCATACTGTTGGCCTCCTTGTTGACATGCCATCTGCTCGTATCGTTTTTTGTCTGTCAGTCAGTTTGCCTGATTTGGTCAGTCTCTGTGCTGTGGAGCTGCCTCTGATGACCACAGCCACATCTTCCTCACTACCACCCGTTACACCACATTCTTTCCTGTCCCTTTTTATAATTTACAGCGTGTGCAAGTCGCTAGCAACAAACTCCTCCAACTCTCCTCTACACCAGCTGAAAAGGGGCAACTAATATTAGCTCCTCTCTCACTTATTCATTTTCTGTCTGATCAGCTGAGCAGCTGATCTCTTTCTCTAGTCTCTCCCTTTCCTTAAGAAACCCAGCCCATTTTCCCATCCATCCTTTTCTCTTCAACCTCCTGTTCTCTTCCAACTGTCCCATCTTTTCCAACGCAAGTATACAGTGGTTTCTCTTCTCGACTCCAGTTCTTCAAACACCGCTCAGGGTTCAAGCAAGTGTTACAGTTTAGAAAAGCTGACCCAAGATCCTCTCTTTCAGTCTTGATCTCATTACCTCTAGTTCAGTTTTTACGCTTCACAGTCACAAACTGCAAATAATCTTTTCAAGAGCCGTCAGAAAGAGGGCTCCATGCTCATCTTTGTCCCACTCATATCCTTTTTATTTCTGAACTTATTCTCTGGTGACAGTATTAAGAGGGCAGTATTAAGAGTATTAATTATCTCCTATCTTAATCATTTGCCTACAAAAACTAAATGGCACTTCAGTTGCTGGCACGCTAACGCTACTTTACAGCCCAGTCTCGTTATTCCCTTGTTCTGTCGCCTGTTGATCCATCTAGCAATCTCAGTCCACAATGAGAGGATAAGCTTCTCATCCCACCTAACCCCCACATCCTCCATATTCTTGCAGCATCCAATACACTGAGGCTCTTTCTGAACACCAAGATAAATAAGAGTATTTATTGGACAATTTTTGAAACTTTTACTCTTTTTATTTCAGTGTTAATTTTTCAGTGCAATGAGATTTTTCAACCAGGCATCCAAATGTTTCAAAATTATTTCTGAAATGCTTAATTGCATGTGTCTCTGATATACATTTTTGCATACAACACATCACCTCGGTGTTGTGTGTAAACTCGCATCTTTGACACCAGTGACATAGCACATAAACAACAAGTCACCAAATATACAAGTATCTCAAAATGAGGTGAACTAGTAAGATCTACAAAAGCAGCTTTGGGACAACTTCTAGTCACTTATATTGTAGACACTTCAATTAAAATACACTAAGAAATGAAACTAAGCAAGCAAAATCAGAGTTTTTTAGAAAAGGTTTTTAAATAGGTCTCGTTATCATTATAAAAATAAGCTTTTGTAACGATATATTTCCTGCACATCGATTTATAAAGTCTAAAACACCTGTTTTATAGAACAACTATCGACTTAAGTCAGGAGGCTAGCTA